ACATTTGGCCGATGGCAACAAACCAATAGTTGGTGGCCTCTGGCCATGGCCGGTGATGTGTGGGGATGGCTCACAAGCCATTCCCTGCCCCTCCAAGGCAAAACACAAGTGTTTGGTGCAAAACCAGACACAAAACAGTCGAGTCGAGAGATCCTGAGGCAAGGCGCGTAGCCGAGGTCTCCGGGAACTCAAGGCAAACACAAACAAGGATGATCACCGGGTGTTCAAGCGGTGACGTCCAAGTCTTGAGGACGGTCAAAAATGGGGTGTCTACAAGTTGATCATTCAGAAAATATTCATGATTGAATATATCTTTACAACATTGCTACTCACAGAGTTCTGGGCTACAGATAGGCTAGTAAGTGTCCTCGGATGTCAACCCTACACAGTTATAGGATGAACACACAGGGAAACAATAACTGTGTCCCTATCTTGACTCGGTGTGGTTCTATAGCATTATCCTCATTAAGATGCCTTAAACTAGGCCTAAGAATGCCTAGGATGGAATGAGGATGCAAAGATGCACTTTGAAACACTTTCAAAATTTTCAGAAAACAAGGGTCTCGCTCGAGCGGACATGCAGATAAAGGAGCTCCGCTCGAGCGTGACTTTCCTCGCTCGAGCGGACTGCAAAAGTACTGGATGCATGAAATTCACGCTCGATGGGCGCTCGACCCCCGCTCGAGCGTGAGACACAAGTCCTCGCCCGAGCGTGCATTTCCTCGCTCGAGCAGACTGTAAACACATGCAAAGTACTGGATACACGCATTTCACGCTCGAGCGTTACTTTACTTGCTCGAGCGGACTACATGAACTTAGAGTGTACGCTCGAGCATGAAGTTCCTCGCTCGAGCGTGGATCCAAAATCTAGAATTTCCAGATTTGTCTCCAAGCATGAAACTCAACATTTAAAGCATCAAATTCGATCCTTTTGGGCTAATTTTCTGGAAAACACTTTAAAACTCATAATATGACATGTTTCAAAGATCAATTTGCAAAATCAAAGCCCAAAGGTAGTTCAATTGAACCCATTTCCAAACAAAACTTCAAGAACATGATGAACATGCAACATGCATGAATTTAATCAACTTCAAAGCTTCTAATACAAGAACAAATGAGTCAATCCTTCCAAAAACATGCTGAATCATGGACCAAAGCTAGAATATGGACATGCATGTGAGGATTTCCATGAAATCAACCTCAAAACTCAACAATGTATACATGCATGCATGATTTAAGCTTCAATTCAACATGTTAGAACCAATTCTAGACTTAGATCACTAAAGACTCATTAACCATGCAAGGTACACCTAGAATTCATAATCAAGAAGATGAATATCCTACCTTATGTCCTCAATTTCAAGTCTAGAAGCTCAATTATGCAATCTACTCTTCAAAATCTTCAAGTCTCCAAGCTAAATTAAGTGAACTCAATTCTTCTTCCAAGACACACTCTCTCTCTTTCGGTTTTGGGTCTCAAGAATGAACAAAATAATGTAACACATAAGCTTTAACAAGACTTAAGAAAGTGGCCCACTTCTATGGCATTTTGGTAAATAAGCCAACTAATGTAATTTACCATTATTTAATCTAATTTAATCATTCCAAATCAATTTCAAATTAAATATACCATAAAGTCACATAAATTCTAATTAGCATAAAACACTAATCAGTTTCGGATTCGACCGCCGATAAGGCCTCAATTTACAGTTTAAAACATAAAACATGAACAGATCATTTAGCAGTCAAACAGATAGATTTGCATTTAAACTAATACACTCAATCAATCAGTTCAGAATTTCAGTCAATCAGTCACTTAACATGCTTAATCATAGATTAGCACTAATTAGTGGTGAGGGTTGTCACACTTACTGCCCTAACAACCTCGTCACTGCCAACCTCACCTTCTTCATCGTGGATAGCGTCGCCACCAAAGATATCCACATCAACTCTCTCACCTCTCTCCACATCTCCCTTTCTAACATTGCTATTTCCTCCGTCGCATCTTCTTCCACAGCTTTGAAGAAAGGGAGAAAAAGAGGAAATAATAGAAAAAAAAATAGAAATTGAAGGTTGAATCGAAGTATAGATAGAGAAAGAGATAGATGAACACATTAGTAAACAAACCAAGAGATCTAGTGCAATCAACAATGATATGATTGACCTCCGATTTTTGATTGAAATTTGAATCGTCGAGCTCTACGACAAGGGCGTCGGCCGTGAGATACTCGCCGTAAGCAACAATTCTTTCCAACGGTATTCATTGGTAACAAGTTTTTGGATAGGATTAAAACTATCATGGCTTGTCACATCAATGAAACCCTAGTCTCTCTCATCAAAGACGCCAAAGCTCTCTAGCTCTGATGACAACGATCTGACCCACCACCACCACAAATATTTGTAACGCCCCAACCCTTCATACGTCATCGATATTGTCTGCTTTGGGTTATGCCCGCATGAATTTGTTCTTCCTAGTGGGTCACCCATCCCATAACTACTCCAACCTAAGCACGCTTAACTGGAGAGTTCTGCTAGGGATCTCACCACCTGGGAAAATGCCTCGATACTATATAAGGGTCTAGGTTTTTACTTTTAAAGCTCAGGAACTCCCTTTTCCATTCCCGATGTGGGACACCAGGACCTTACAATATCAATTAGTTTCCAATGGAGAACACTCCCGATCAGGACTGTATGGATTAGATTCCAACGATGTCGATGATGAACTTGGCAATGACATTAACTGCCGAATGCCACTGTAGGGTGACCAATGATTTGGATGATGATCGTAGTGATGAACACATAAACAATAATGTAAAGAGAAAGAACAATAGAACAAAAAAGAGAGAGAAACATTTGAACATATAGTGGGTAGAGGGATAGATAGGGAATTTCAAGGTATAAATTGATTTAACAAATAATTTCAACAAATAGATTTTTTTAACAGATAAATGTCATTTTGACTAACAAATGTCCTTATGAACTCAAAAGTTTCACCCTTATTCCTAATGACTTATAGGGGTGAAAACATGAATTTATCATCAATTTTATATTTTATATATTTGATTGGAGTAAATAAAAAATTAATAAATGATTTACAATTATAATTTTCATATAAATTTTACACAAAATAATATGATAGTGGCAAATTTGTAATTCTAAATCATAATAATGTTTGCTTCGACTTAAATTAAAAGGAGCATGAAGGGCGTATTATTCTGTATGATTGTATATAGGGGCGACGCCACGGCATAGCTTTGTGGTGTCACTTGAATCCCCTCAATAGAAGAAAAATTTTATTTTACTTTGCATATATAATTGTTGTTTTAAAAATGTGTCATCATGACTGATCCCATTAAAAAAAGTGACTTTGAACCCCAAAATTTTTAGACTTATTAATTATTTACAAATCAATTTCAACTTTTCACATTGTACCAAATACTATTAAAATGACTAATGCTATATGTACAAATTAGTATACTAACTAATGTATTAATTAATTATGTGACATAATTTAAGATATTTTTGGTCAATAATAATGTCATAACTAATATTACACTACAAGAAAATCTGTTATATAACACGGAGGCTTTTGCGACCCAAAATCATTATTATTTTGGGTCAATAATAATGATTTTTTGCGACGCAGTGTAGTTGCTGTTGCCAAAAAAGTATTTTTGCGACGGCGTTTATCTACCGTCGACGAAAATGGACTTTTGCGACGGGGTTTACCTCTGTCGCTAATGATTGTAAAAAGAAAAATGCAGGGGCATTTGCGACGCACGTATACCGTCGCAAAAGTATTATTTAGCGACGGTAAAAAGTTACGGTCGCAAATGGTGGACCATTTGTGACGGCATAAGCCCGTCGCAAAATTTTTTTTGTAAAACGACGTTGTTTTAATTTGTTAATTATGTATCATTTGCGACGGTAGTATATATTCCGTTGCAAAAAAAAAAAAAATTCACATCCCGCTCATTTCTCCCATTCGCGGTCATGCTAAAATCCCCAAAATCCTCAAATCAAAATCCCTAAACTCACCAAACCAAAATCCCCAAAATCCCAATCCCAGAATCCCCAAAATCCTAAAATGAAAATCATTCAGTGCCGGAGTGAAGGAGGGTAAACGACGGCATTCGCAGATTGACGAAGGTGAACGACGGCCTTCGCCGAAGTGACGAGGCAACGACTGTGAACGACGAGTGACGAGGCTAGAACGAGGGTGAACGACTGCGAACTACGAGTGATGAGGCAAGACTGTGAACGACTGTGAACATTTTAAGGGTGAGTTCCACCACCTTCAATCCTTTCCATTTTTCAATTTGATTCCCACTTTGGGACCCCTCAGCCATTTCATTTTGTTTTAAGAATTTGGAGTCCTCCCATTCTTTAATTTGTCTTAGGTCCTGGGGAAGTTGTCTGTGATGCATCCATTGCTCTGTATCAGCTCTCTGTAGCCTCCACTCCTCTTACCGAGCTATTGCCAATTGTATATACATCTACCAGTTCAAAAAAGTACTACTTTTTTTAGGTGAGTCGTATGTCAAAATTGAAAAACATGAGAATTATTTTAGAATTTTTGAGATATCAAAATGGCTCATAAGATATTCAATTGAAATGGTTTGTAGGCTTTGAATGTAGAGCTTTGGTGCTGAAAATTGGGAAGATATTCATTTGATTGGCATTTTAAATTTTGCAAATCATTTCAAAATTTGAAAAATGATTTTCTCTCTCTCTCTCTCTCACTTGGCAGTTCACGTTTCTCTCCATTCTCCAGCATCCAGTTTTGTTTTTTTGTTTATTTAATTTTTTTAATTCATTCATTCACTGTCGTTTTGGTACTACTTCAGGAATACTCCAGGAAAGAGTCCTCTAGAGGATCCGAATAATGCCTACTTAAACTAGTTGTCACTCCCTCCTCAACCGTCCAAGACTCTAGAACCTTGAATTCGCTGTACCAGATCCATCTGGCCTAGGGCTACAATCTTCAATCGAGTCTGACCACTACACCTGCAACATTCAGGTATGAGATCGATCCATCTATCTATCTATCTATACACATGAAATTGGATTCTAATGTGCTCATCTTTTATGAAATACATTTCTATGGACTGATGTTTCTCAATTTTTTAATTGGTTTTCGGTGAACTTGTGATTGTATCCGTCGATTATTGGTTCTGTATCTATGAGATTCTCCTTCGTTTATCGCCATGCATGCCTGATTTTTTGATTGTTGTACCGTCATTTACTTGCTTGATTATGTCTCTGATTGGTTTTGGGTTTATTTCTCCAAGGCATTTGCTGTCCCATGCGATTATCGTTGATGATAAATGTTAATTTATCTACCTGCCTCCCGAAGTTTGTTACTCTATATCCATTGAGTTAATTTTGGCATGCTTTTTGAAATTTATGTTAATCAATCAATCTAATATGAAAGTAAAAAACAAGTTTATGTTGATCTGTAAATATTTATGTGGATTACTCTACTTTTTGACAGCATCTTCAATGGTGTACTAAAACACCATCTAAAGTTAAAATTTTGCAAGATTTTTTCCCAAAACCTATCTCAATAGTTTGTAATTCATCTTGTCTAATTATAATTCAAAATTTGACAAAACATGTTCGATCTGCATTGCATTGCTAATATTGGGATCACAAATAACATTTTATTTGACATTTTTGTAAAAAGATTGAAGGACATCCTGCTGCAACAGAAGCGCATCCTTTACACGCACCTTCGTCCAGTTGCTCCTCATTTTCATCCTCTAACCTTGATACAGAGGTAGGTAATTCTTCTTCTTCCTTACCCCATCTGTTTCTTTATATCTCTTTCATTTTCTCCTTCACATACATCATGCGAAATGGTTAAAGACCATCCCATTATACAAGGCAACATACTAACAAAATATAGAGTTAGCAAAGTGATTATCATAAAATTAGAGAGTCATCCTATTATGCATTTTACAAATTCTATTAGTAGTTCCACCATTGTAAATGTATAGTACATATAAATGCATAAATATGAAGCAATTAGGACTGACCTACACATTAATAACAGCCTTGAATACTAAAAATGCACAAACAAAGGTTAGAAAAACAGCCTTAGTTGTTTTAAAATCGTGAAATGCAGTCAAACAAATTGTGGTTTCTATTCTAGCCACTTGTTTGACAGGTTTAAAATTTTACTCAATATCCATCTCACATTGCAAAAAATCGTGAAACATGAACTGAGATATATGTTTATCAGTTAGGTGACGTAGTTTCTTTTGTGAACTTCAAGTTGTAAAAGCATGTATTAGTGGCTGTTTTTTTTTTTTTGGGGCATCAGTTTCAAGTTCCATTCCCCTTTATTATTGGAAACTATTATTAATGGCATGATGACCATCACATATCTTCTTTCACTCATTGTAGCATTGCGTTTTTTACTGTACTTAGAAGTGCCTTTCCTCAGCTTCTGGTAAGGCATATGACCAAACTAATGGTGCTACGGTAGCCTAATGCTAAAATACTTCACCTATTCTCTAGCCTTGGAAATGGACTTCCTTTTTTATCGTGTCTGTTTATCATTAGTAGATTAGGTGTCTGTACAAAGCTTTTCCATCCAACCACTTAAAGCAACATTTTGGTTTTTGACACTAAATTATTTTCATTCAAATTGTTGTTCCTCATACTATAGTGTTTGCATTTGTCGGAATATTCTATAACCTGGCATTTCTACCCCTGTAGCATGTTTTGAATGCACTGGCTTTTGTCATAATTGTTATGCTGTTGTTGTCTTCTGTTGTTAATTTTTGGTAAATTACTTGAAATGTTATGTATCACCCAAAATATTTTGGTATAGATAATGGATCTTCTAGATGAACATATTGGCCCTCCTACAATACCACTTAAGCCTAAAAGGGTAGTGGGTGAAAACCATCCGAGGCATGGGACCATTTTGATAAAATTAAGTCAGAAGATGGGGAAAACTAAGGTTGTTTGTGATATTGTCAGGCAATATTTTGCAACCATAACCACATCTTCTTGGGTCAACATCAATGCTTAACATTAAAAAAGAACCAATATTTTAATTTTAAATAGGAATTCTTGCGATACGAGAAACTTTTTGCCCAGGCCCTGCTTGTAATTAAGTACTTCAAAAACTAAATGCATTAAGTGACTTTGATAATGCATAAGTACCTACCACTTAAATTTGAAAATTGCCTGAAAATTAGTCTACATTTTAAGTTTGACTTGACTTGCTACTAAATGTAGAATATAGTAAGTAGAAGGTAGTTTTTATTTTCATTTTCTTCTAACAACTTTTATCTTAAAAGTTTTAAAATTAAAATTTCAGTACTAAACAGCCTCTTAAACTTTGAACTAGCCATTGGCTTTGATCATAAACTCACAATATGAATCACATGACTCGCATAAAAAGGGGAGTTTAAAGTGAAAGTGGGTTTCCCTCTCATCAGGCTTTATATTTTGAATCATGTCATGAAAAACCAAGATGCATAACAGCCCACATGCCTTTTGAATCATGCTTTTCTATCACTTATTTACATGTTCAATGTTATATAGAAATTGCATTGATAAATAGATAGTAATATGTATGCTTCGAAATATGCATCTTGGTTTTTCTTTCATGAATATCATTTTGGACCTTAGAGACTGTGATTTTATGGGAACATGATTCAAAATGTAGTAATTATTAAAATAAAATAAAAAAAAAGGAATGAATGAGAACTACCACCCTTATCACTTTTTCAGTCTAGGAAGACCATGATTAATCACTTTACATAAATAAATCTAGAACTAAAGCACTTGCACAATACAAAACTCATAATAGAATTGAAATGCAAGCATTTTATATGAAAACAGAATGGGGCAATTGAATTAACATAGAAAAGCTTTATAACCCATTATTATATTTATCAATGCATTTGAGGACAGCATTTGGCCCAATAGCGCATGCTCTTGGTTATATTTATTTTTTATTTTTTGTGTCAACCATATTAATTTGGCATATACTTGTATTTCTTATTCAATACAGGATGAGTTTAATGGCTAACTCTCTATACTACCTGAGGATTGTCGGACTTTGGACGCTAGGAATGCCATTATACATGAGTTGATTGGTCATGACAATCATGGATATTGTCGCACATACGGGAGAACTGTGCCTTGGAGAGCAGTGTATAAAGATGGTGCAAGGCCATCACAGTCAGCACCCCAGCCATCGACTATTGTTTAGATCACCCAGCAGGTTCGTGCGGAGCTAAGGGATGAGTTGAGGAAGGAGTTGCGAGCAGAGTTCTCTACACATTCACAGCAGCTGAGAGCTGAGATGATGGCTTTTGTGTCACAGGGGGCAAGTATGGATCCCAACAAACAGGTTCGATATAAATTAAATTGTTTGACAGTTAAATTGTCACACAACATTATGTATAAAATTCAAATATGATTAACACATTATGCATTGACTATCATAGGCTCCTGATGCATCGAGTGGCCACCGGGCATTTAGGGAATCTACAGAATACGAGAATCCATATACACCACCACCAGAAGATCAGGTATAAAGTGTAACTTTACATTCTAAGCTATTTACGTTCTTTACATTCTAAGCTAAGAGACTTGTGGGAGAAGACGGGACTCAAATTGGGTTCCCGGATTAGGAGTTAGAGATGGATTTCACTCTAGGCAAACTAGTTCTTTAAAAAGCTTGAATTCGAGGTGTTAACGCCCCAAAATCACCAAAAGGGGTTGGATTGGCACGAAACTTGGCACACACGACCGCCTAGGCACGAGAGACTTGTGGGAGAAGACGGGACTCCAATCGGTTTCCCAGTTTGGGAGTTAGAGTCATATTTCGGTCTAGGCAAACTAGTTCCTTAAGAAACTTGAATTCGAGGTGTTGACGCCCCAAAATCACCAAAAGGAGTCGGTTTAGTACGAAACTTGGCACACACGACCGCCTAGGCACAAGAGACTTGTGGGAGAAGACGAGACTCAAATCGGGTTCCCGGTTTGGGAGTTAGAGCCGTATTTCGGTCTAGGCAAACTAGTTATATAAGAAACTTGAATTCGAGGTGTTGACGCCCCAAAATACCAAACGGGGTCGGATTGGCACGAAACTTGGCACACACGACCGCCTAGGCACGAGAGACTTGTGGGAGAAGACAGGGCTCGTATCAGGTTCTCGGTTTGGGAGTTAGGGTCAGATTTCTGTCTAGCCAAAATTATTTACTTAACTATCTTTGTAATTATATAGTAATTAATTTTTTATGTTTTTTTGTAATTAAAATATTAACACATAATTATATTGTCATTAATTATTTTTATTTTTTATTTTCAGATATTTTCTGAGTAGTAGTTTGCTTCTTGTGAAATGCAGCCGTGTGAAGATTGCGACGAACTTTTGTTTTTGTAATCCACGGAAGAATTATGAAGAAAACTTTTATTTTTGATTTACGTTATTTAGATTTGTGAGCAACATTATGTATGTATTATGCAACATTATGTGGTGGGATAATTTTGATGATGTGTTGTTATGAATGGAAGAGTACTTGAATTATGGATGAAATTTTATTTATATACAGGAATTTTTATATTATTATATAATTATCGATTTTTTTTTAGTTATTTTCATTTAATACAGGTAATTTTCATATTTTTAATAACTTTGTTGCAGCTTTTTTTTTTAGAACCAGGTCTTTTGCGACGGTAGTATAGCCGTCGCCAAAGATATTGGAATTATTAATTAGTTGAAACAAAAGGCCTTTAGCGACGGTATTTTCACCGCCGCAAATAATATTTTAGAGACGGCAGATTTGCGGTTGCAAATAACAGTATTAACAACGGTATTTTCACCGTCGCAAATAACCATTTTAGCGACGGTATTTTTACCGTCTCAAATAAACTCTTTTGCGACGGTATTTTTGCTGTCGCAAATAACTATATTAGCGACGGTATTTTAGTGCCATCTCAAAAACTTTAGATTTTTACACATTAATGGCGACAGTATTTTGCCGTTGCTAAAAGGCATTTTTGCCGTCGCCAATATTTTGCGACGGCGTCTTACCGTCGCTAAAGACCTTTAGCAATCCCTTGTTTTGCGACCCCCCTCTTGCCGTCGCTAAAAGCTTTTTTTGCGACGACTTTTTGGATATTGGTGACGGTATTTTATCGTCACAAAAAGTGAATTTTTTGTAGTGTTAGTACAGTAGTTAGTACACTAATTAGTACATGTAGCACCACTCCTATTAGAATAAAGGAAATGGAATAATTATTTTATCAAAATATTCATCACTATGTTTAGTTGATTAAATAATTAATGAAAATTACATACAAATGGAATAATTATTCACTATTGTAAGAGGATGATCATTCCATAAAGAAACTAAATGAATGATCATTACATTTAGGGGTGAGCAACGGAAATACCGATCCGCCTAAACCGATCGAACCGAATCGATCCGCTGCATTTTGAATGGATGCGTAATGACGAGTGGACGGTTACGAATTGATTTTTTCTAATCTGCCTAGTTTTGGATGGATGGCGGATTTGAGATTTATTTGACTACAACCGAACCGCCAAACCGTGAACACCCCTAGTAATTTGTAAGACTTTGTGTTTTCAATTTGTTTAGATATTCTATTTGTATTTTCAATTAAAAAATAGTTTAAATATTCTCTTAAATATATTTTGTTGAAAAATAGTTTTCAACTTGAATATAGTTTTTGAATTGAAAAAAATAAATGTATTATTTATCTATATTTTTTAGTTTTTAAATCTAACTCTAAAAATAAAAAATAAAAAATATGATATATGCTGGTTGATTTTTATTTTCAAAAGTAGATGTAACAATACATAGGCATACAATCTCTATTACTGCTCTGTTCATGGTTTTAATGGTTTGAATTGATTTTATATTTTAAGAACCACATATTGTAATACTTTACATAGTACTTTATGTGGATGATGCATGCAGTCCTAAAATTTCAAACTTTCTTTCTTTGTATGAGGCATGCAGTAACTGTAATAGTTTTTTAAGTGATTGACTGTAATATTTTTTTTTGAGGAAATGCACAAGTTGAATTATGTTGAAAATTTATAAAATTTTAAACCGCCAAACCGATTCGCATCCATCTGTCAATCCGCTCAATTTGCATCGGCTGGATTAGCGGATAGATGCGGATTGATATTCTCCAATCCGCCAATCTGGTGAACAATGACGGATTGGAGGTTCCGTGGCCACCGACCCGCGCCTACCCCTAATTACATTTCATTTTATCTCATTCCAATAAATTATCTCCAATCCGCCAATCTGGTGAACGATGACGGATTGGAGGTTCCGTGGCCGCAACCGACCCGCGCCTACCCCTAATTACATTTCATTTTATCTCATTCCAATAAATTAAATAAAACATTACAACTTATTCAAAGCATTAATATAAAACTCCATAATTTTAAAAGCTAACTTTTATGTTTTTTTCAAATGAGACTTTGAATCTACATAAAAATCTTGCCTTTTATTTTTCTTTAAAATATTTATAATATAAAATACAATTTATATTTTTTGTTTTGGAAATTATCAAAATCATTAAAGATTTTTACCTTTCAATTGACACCACTAACTTAAATTTCTAGAATCGCGACTGATTTTATAACATTACTTAAGAGAAAGTAAATATGACCAGCATTGAAAAGGTAGCGATATATAAAGAGAATACTTCCGTTGTCTACAATTATGTGGCAATTTTAGATCATTTTATAAGAATTAAAAAAAAAAAAAAAAAGAGTCGCCAAAATGGCCTATATTTTCAAACATGATCCTCTTTATTCTTGTGATAAATTTTATATGATAATTCTATTTGTAGATGATTTCCCCAATTGAAGACGTAATGCTACGGCCTGGGTGATGTTGACGTTTATGATTTTCTCATTATGTCTGTTAATCTATTTTAAGAAAATGTACACAATTTATGTCATTTATTTATAAATTAGTCAATAAATTAATTTCCAAAACGAGGCAATTCCTCTCCTGTTCGATCACAAATTCAATTTGATGATCTAAACTACTTATTTTATAAATTATTTAAAAATAAATCAATCAAATTATTTTTTATAAAAAAAAATGATATATTAAAAAGACATTTTTTCATAAATCTCTTTTCTCTTATTTATATTCTATTTAGTTCACATTATTTTATTATATTCTAATATGTTATATAAATGATATAATTATCAAAATATTCTTAATAATATTCACATTTACAGTAAAAATGTTCCGTAATGTAACCTAGAGCTTCAATTACAAGTATAGAAGTCCAATTAGGCAATTCTCCTTAATAATATCCTTAATAATATTCACATTTACAGTAAAAATGTTCCGTAATGTAAATATTCACACCGTCAATGTAAATATTCATATTATAAAATATAAATGCTCACATCACTAAATTACTAACTATTCAAAAAATATTTATAAAAGTAGAAATATCTATAAAATATTTTAATTATGAAAATTAAAATTTAGTAAATCAAATGTTCAAATAATAAGACTTATTAAAATACAAAAATATCTTATAAACTAATTGAAATACAAACACTTAAAAAATAATCTTCTAATAAATCTTCTTATATTAATTAATATATTAAACAATAAATTAAATAAATTATAATTATTAAATTGATTAACTGTTTCAAACCTACAGTAAACCACCTGGAAATCCAAATTATAAACGGGAGAAAATACTCCTCCTTCCCAAAATTCTTTAAATCATTAAAATAAAGATACAATTGCAAAGGAGTGCACATCAAATGAAAACAAATATACCGACCCAGGAAAAAAATAAAAATAAAAATTGAAAACAAATAGATTTTATTCAAGATAAGAGTACTTATATAAACATAGAACTAGTTTAATATAAGAGTACTTATATAAACATAGAACTAGTTTAATTATTACATTTATATCAAAAACACAAACTTAGCAAAATATCACACACACCCCCATCAAGTTTAATTATTGCATTTATATAAAAAAAAGCCCAAACCTACAACAACAAAAACAGAGCAACAACCAAAACCCCAACACAAAACAGAGTATTTGCGTTCACATCTCATCCTTCTTCATAGCCTTAATATCCTCACCACCAACCTTCCTCTCCTCAGCAATATCAATCACTTTCCTCTTCTTCTCCTCCGCGACCACCTTCGGCACCTCAATCCTCAAAACCCCATTCTCCAAATGCACTTTCACTCGCTCCAAATCCGCATGCTCGGGCAACCTAAACTGCCTCCAGAACTTGCCGCTAATCCTCTCAAACCTGTGCCACCTCTCCCCCTCAATCTCCTTCTCCTCCTTCCTCTCTCCTCCGATCCTCAACACCCTGTTCTCCTCCACCTCGATTTTGATATCTTCCTTTGTTAGCCCCGGAACGTCGAGCGTGATCACGTGGGATGTGGGCGTTTCTTTCCAATCGCAACGAGCGAGAGCTAGGGTTTCGATTGATTTGGGGGAGGAGAGAGGGGTTTGTTCGAGGATGCGAAATGGGTCATCTGGTGGGAGCATTAGGTCCCAGAGGGAGGTTCGTGTGTAGGGCATGAGAGCTGTGGTGGTTTGGATTGCCATTGTTGTTGCCAGGAAGAGGCAGATTATGAGCTTCTTTGGAATACCCATTTTTGCTGTGGCGTTGAAGATGAAGATAGTTGATGCGGTTTCTGTAATTGAAAGTTGTTTGTAGTGTTGATTATGGGGTTTTTTTTTCCTTCTGATGAGTGAAGAGAGATGGGTTGGGTTGGGAATTATATAGGAGAGAGAGGAGATTCTGGATGCTTCCTTCATTTTGATGAGGTCGGTTTTCGGTTGCATGAAGTGTGTAGGCACTGTGTGAGAGAAATCTATAGAGTTCTAGAGAGTGAGAGAGTGTTCAAAATAATACTTGGATCCGATATATATTGGATGATGTGGGACCATGATAAAATTGCTATGCCATGTGTACAATAATTCTTGGCATTAGGCATGTTTTGTCTAAAAAGAAAAAAAAAATTGTAGAGAATATAAAAATTTTATTAAAATTTTTACAAAATGTTTTGCATGAGTGTGAGATTCACATGGTGTGCATCTTACACCCATGTGAGATATTTAGTAGAAATTTTGTGACCTTTAGCATTTTTTTTTTCTTTTAACACGTGTTTAGTTGGAGAATTTGTGAAGAGATTTAGAAAGTAAAAGAAAAAAATATGTGAAAGGTAAATAAAATATACTTACATTTCATATAATTTCACACACATTTTTTATTTCTCTTTTTAAATTTCTTCTCAAATCTCTAACCAAACATAACTAGCTTATTTTCTAAATCAGATTGGAATGTGCATTTGAACTTTTATGGGCCTACTACGAAGTTCACATTGAATATTTGAACCGTTTAATGCATAGAAATCGTCGAATATTTGATTTCTGTAAAAAAATTATATTGATCGGATATCAATGACTACTTGATCAGATCAAATTTGTGTCAATAGTAAGTATGATTTTAAAAATAAAAAATATGATATGATCAAGTAACTATTAATATTCGATTGATATAATTCTTTATATAGATAAAATAATTAATACACAGTATATATTAACAACTTAAATTACCAAAATGGATATAGAATGGACTCGAAATGAGCCAAACTATACCATCCAATTGCAATAACTAGCCGGAGAGGGTGGAACCCCTTCTCTAAAAGTAAAACAGTACTGTTAGGAGGATTGTCCACAACATGCAGGCTCCAAGAGTTTCTGAGTTGGTTTTTTAATTTTTTAATTATTTTAATTTGTGATTAAAAAGTCTTATTTGTAATAGATTTTTTAATTTTTTTAAATTTTTATGAGAAAAATAATGTAATAATTATGGGTTGAATGTAACATTTTATTTTATTAAACTAAAAAGTTTATTTTATTTTTTTTATGACTAAAATAGTTCTAAACCCAACTCAACCCAAGTTGCCAAGTGAAGGCTATTAGCATAATTTTATAATTTAACGTGTTTTTGATGAATTAAATATGAGTTCAGATTGAGGAGTTTAATTTTTGGGTCTGGCTTTGGTCCAGCTCACCATCGGATTGGACCGTGCTGTTAGGCTCGTGGGGGCTCACCACGTGTCCAGTTTTGAAAATCTGAATCGTTCAATGTGTAGAACTCTTCGAGTATTATATGTCTGTAAAAAATCACGTTGATCGGATATCGATAGCTATGTGATCAAATCAGTTTTGTATAAAAAAATGGACGGTGAATAAATTAACGGTTGACAAAAAATTGATTTGATCACATAGCTATCGATATCTGATCAACTTGATTTTTTACATGCATATAGTACTCGAAGAGTTCTAAACATTAGACGGTTCATATTTTCAAAATGGAACCCGTGGTGGGCCCCCACGGGCCCAACAGCATGGTCCAGTCCTATGGTGGACTGGACCAAAGCCAGACCCTAATTTTTTATAATATACATAAGTTTAGAGAACTATTACTAGTATTTACTTAATTTTTTTGAATTCCTATCTTAAATCTTAAATTTTAATAAGATTTATTTAAACACTTCATTTTTACCCATATTTATAATATTATCACACCTAAGTGCATATTTACCTAATTTTGCACACCCTTTCTTATTCCTCCTCTCTTAGTAAACGAAGAATGATTGAGAGACAATTGAGAACAACAAAGGATTGAAAGACGAATCGACTGTCCCTCTCTCTTTCTTCTCTCATAAACAATAGTCTCTTTCTCCTTGTCGTCGTGAATGACGGTATCTTAGTCAAAAATCTCATTGGAAATATCTTCGATAATCTCTTTCTTTTTCTCTTAGGCAACTCCAACTCTTCATCACATATTTTTTTTGTTTTGTTTTGTTTATTTCGGGATAAAACCCTCGATACAGGGGGTTTTAGAAGGAAAAACCATTAGAAAAAAAAGAAATAGGAAAAAAAAATCTTATAAAACGGAACTGTTCAGCATTCTAGTGTCGAACAAAATATTTATGTTCAACATTGTTGTCACGACCCAAACTCGCCCCTATGGGTTTAGCACCGTAACCGGCCAGTAATCCGAGATTACCGAAGGCCTGCTTAACAGTAATACAGTAATACAGAGTACAGGGGCTGGCGGAAGCCAATACAGTAAATAAACAATGTCCAATGAGATGTGACAGTCTGTATGCAAAAAGGACTTCTCATTCAAATATGCACAGTCAGATAAAACAGTATATACATATATACAATCATTCAGAACAGTACAGTCTATACAGTCGAACAGAACAGATACAGAGACAGACGGGGAAATTAAAAACACCCCTAAGCCGTAACTTGACAGGCTCGGAACCTCGCATTGAGGCACATAGGTTGGCTCGAAAAAACTGGAGTTTACCCCGACGCTTCTAGCTGCGGTCTGGTGCCTGTACACCTACATATATATGTGAGCAGTGAGCTAAAGCCCAGTGAATAACACAAAGCGTAAAGGGGTTAAGAATGAATGTCCTTACAGTAATGAAAACAGTTCATTAAATCAGTATTTCAGTCGTTCAGTCGATACAGTCATATGTGGTACATCCATTAGCATAACAGTACAGTAAACAGTAGGTCTTAAAAGACCGAACAGTAAATGATGGCCATCAATCAGTAAACAGTAGTGGTTCCAACGAGGGAACCGACAGAGATCTCTGTAACAGTAATAGTAAACAGTAATTGCTAAGGATGCCACAATATAGTTTAGAATATAGGACATACATTCATTCAGTTAACAGTAATCAGTTCAGAAAGCAGTACAGTTCAATTGTTCAGAAGATAATCATTTTGAACATATCTTTACACAGATGTTACTCACAGAGTTCTGGGCTACAGTAAAGCTAGAGTGCGTCTCCTCGGAAAGCCAATCCTACACAGTTGACAGATTGAACACGCACTAAGCTACACAGTTGGGAAAATAATAACTTAATCCCTAATTTGCCTCGGTGTGTTCTACATCTATATTTTCATTAAGATGCGTTAAACCAGGCCTAATAATGCCTAGGATGAGATGAGAATACAAAGATGCACTTTAAAAGCATTTTCAGAAAACAGGGGTCACGCTCGAGCGTAAGTTACTCCGCTCGAGCGGACATGCAGACAAAGGTTTCCGCTCGAGCGTAGACTTACCCGCTCGAGCGTTCTGCAAAACAGTCAAAAGTGCTGGATAGGCGAAAATCACGCTCGATTGGGTGCTCGACACCTGCTCGAGCATGAGACACAATGTCCTGCTCGAGCGTCAATTATTCCGCTCGAGCGGACTTCAAAACAGAACAAAATGCTGGGAGCACGATTTCCACGCTCGAGCGCCAGTCACCCCGCTCGAGCGTGAGTCCAAATTCTGGAAATTCCAGATTTGAACCTCAAGCTCAAAATCAAGTTTTAAACCATAAATTTCGATCCACTTGGGCCAATTTTTCAGAAAACACATCAAAATTCATACTTTAACATGATTCAAAGCTCAATTTATAAAATCAAAGCCCAAGGGTGTTTCAAATAAATCCAATTCAAACCAACTTCCATGAACAATATTTCAAACATGACATGCATGAATTTAACTCAGTTCAAAGCTTCAATTTCATGCTCTAGTGAGCCAATTCTTCCAAGGACAAGATGAAATCATGGACTTAAACACAATATGAACATGCATGTAATATTTTACCATGAAATCAACTCACAACTCAGCAATTCAAACATGCATGCATGGAATGAGCTTCAATTTGACATGCTAGGACTAGGACATGACTCAATTCATCAATCTAGACATGAACAATGCAAGAATCCACTTAAACACAACAATGAGAGGTTGAATTCCTCACCTAGAGCTTCAATTACAAGTATAGAAGTCCAATTAGGCAATTCTCCTATGATCCCTTCAAATCTTCCAAGCCAATTTTCTAGAACAATTCAACTCTTTCTCATTTCCTCTCTCTCTAGTTCGGTGGTGTGCTCAAAAGAAGCTGAGGAAATGTTTTGTAATGCAAAGCTAAAGCTTAAACAAAGTTTGGTGTAGTGGTCCACTAGGGGTTAGTTTGGTAAATAATGCAACTCTTGTAATTTAGCACTATTTAATATAATTTAATCATACCTAACCAGTTTTTAGATAAATATACCATAAAATCACATAAGTTACGATGGTCATGAAACGTTAATCAGTTTCCGGTTCGGCCGCCAATAAGGCCTTCAATTCGCAATTTAAACATAAAAACACGAACAGATAATCAAATAACCAAATAGATAGAGTTACAATTAAACAAGTATACTCAGTCAATTCAGTTTCAGATTTTAGTCAGTCAGTTCAGTAGTTATTCGGTTCACTTATCAATCATAATCAGTTTCAGTTTAACGGTAATCAGTGGTTATTCGGTAAACAGTGACGAGGGTTGTTACAATTGTATTACTGAGCTAAATGTTTTGGTTCAACACTGTATTACTTAACGGAACCTTAACAATCGATAAACCAGTACTAAACCGAAAACGATTCAAAATCGTAAATGCAATATAGATAAACTTACTAATGTAACGCCAACCTCATCAGAATTATTGTTATCGTCCTCAATTGCTCCATAAGAATTAATGAAATGGTGAAAAGGATCACAAATGTAAAAATTCGGAGCCTGTAATAGAATTGTTTGTAACGTTAGCTGATTTGGAATACCGAACACTTTTGAAACCATCAAACAAAACGTTGATTGATTAGGAGGTTTCAAATGTTTTTCATTAGAGATGAATACGTGGGTTAGGATGGTGATGAAGAAGAATATGATTAAACTTTAGATTGGTAAGGAATATGTATAAATGGGGATGAAAGTAGGTGTACAATATTGTAGAGTGTCATTCTAATTGTTTTCATTTAATAGGTGGTTGTTCTATTAAAAATTGTCATTTAATAAAATTTTATTTAAGGGTATAATTGTAATAAAAAAAGAGTAAAAATTAGGGATCCAAGAAAATTGGGAGCTTCTATTTACACACACCCATTCCCCTCTTTACACATTTTTTTCAATAAATAATTGGTTCGGAAGTAGATTTTCGAAAATAAGCAATTGGTTCATAAGTAACTTTTCGAAAATAAACAATTGGTTCGGAAGTAGACTTCCGAATTTTTATTATTTTTTCGACATTCAACTTCCGAATGTGTTTATTTGATGTCTATAATAGTAATTTTACTTGAAAAAGAATTTATAATAAAAATAATTTTTATGAAGTGTGTGAAAAGAGGGGTAGGTGGATGTGTAAATAGAAGCTCCCAAGAAAATTAGGTAGATGCTAATAATAATACTCAAAATTTATCAACCTGAGTAATAAATTGTCAAATTTTACGAGTTTAGAAATACATTTAAATTTTGAATTATTTGAACAATAAGCCGAATACGAGTTATTAGTTTAGTCCACTTAAAAGTCAAACTAAGAAGAAGAAGAAGAAGAAGAAGAAGAAGAAGAAGAAGAATGCCAGTATAGTCTATTCAATTCAACCCCTTCAATCCATCAAGAAGAAATTTCAATTAAAAATGCGAGTATAGTCTATTCAATTCAACCCTTCAATCCATCAAGTTTTCTGCTGGTCCTTCACCATCTCATCATCATGCCAATATTTGAGATTTTTAATCTAAGCATTTCCATATGGAAAACAATGCAACAGATTTACACACACATCAAAATCATAATTCACTTTAAACAGCTTCATATGCCAATCAAAACCATCCCTTTAATAACTAATAATACAACAGAAGCATTATAAAACTTGAATAATCAAGCTGACAAGAAGAGAGTTTCTTTGTTCAATTAGGATGCAATACACTTGCTCTGAAAACAAAAGATACATGAAATAACCAGTCATAGTTGTGCATATTTCATTATTTTATGCATTGAGTAGGTGTATTTTCTTGGGCATCACATAAAAAGACCCTTTTAAAGCCACAAACAGGAGACAAAGATTGCACTGGTAAATTAGTATCAATGTGGTGCATGGATTAAGGGAAAATCTCAATCAGCACCGAGGGATTAAATTATTTAATGACACCTAAGTCGTGAAAACAAAGAAACATATTGGAGTTGACGACAATAGAAGGTTGTCAATTGTTGACAACCTTCTTAAATTTGACAATGCATTCCAATGCATGCTCAAATTCACTGTCTTCCAAAGCAATGGTAAAGCGACAGTAGCCAGGAATTCCAGTCCACGAGGCACTGTTGATGCATAGCCCAGTGGCCTTGAGCATGGCTTCCCTGATATTTGAGTCATCGAGCTTGGCTTTAAAAGCATTGGGATCTTCTTTTAGTGTAATGCTCTTGCCAAGATATGCAGACGGCGTTGCCACCATCGAAACCCCAGCATGGGATTCAATCACCTCCCAACCGCAATTCTCAAGAGTCTATCACACGGACATCATAAGGAAATTGCATAAGAACATGTGATAAAAAAAATGAAACAAAAACATAACAGGAAAGCTCATGCCTCTTGGAGATTTAATACTTACTTCTTTCAAGCGTTTAGATCTACTTCCCAAAAGATTTTCCTGTTCTGCAATGGCATCCAGTAGGTCTCCTGCTTTCTGCTCTCTAAGATCCAGCAACTTCTTTACGGTGTACTTAAGAGTGCTGTGAGGTTTGTTTAGTCCTGAAATGCTATGGAACGTGTCAACCAAGAAAGGCTGATTCAGAACTACAAACCCAAATGTGAGCCCTCCAGTAAGCATTTTCAAAGACAATCCTCCGAGCAGAGACACACAAAAAGATGATTTGCCAGAACAATTTAGTTTTTCTAAACTGTTCTCCAAATCCCAACGATTCCCGCCCTTAGAGTCAAATTCCAATCCTGAAAATGAAGTATCGATTATAACTCTTGCCCCAAATTTGGCACAAATAGACAGTATTTTTTCCATCTCTTCATTGCTGTAAATCAAGCCAGTTGGGTTGATTGTTGGACCAGAAATGTATACCCATGGTTTATTCACCTTATCAAATACACCCGTAAGTGTCTTTTCAGTCAACTTATACCCTACTTCAGATTGGGTAGGGATGGTCATAATGTTTGCTTTCAGAAATCTGGCAGCGGAAACATAATGCCCATTTGAACCAGCTGGGAAGCACAAAGTTCCACCTTCTTGGATGCAGCAGAGGACAAGCTTATTGAATAGAGGAATCGAGCAGTCTGCATATATGAATTCCGTGTTGCTAGTGGTTGGGAAGCCGTAATTGCTCTTCATAAATTGTCTTATGCTGGGTGTCACATCAAACTCTGATTCTGCTATGTTCTGCCTTGAAAAACTTTCAAAAATAGCAGCCTTTACAGGAGATGGTATAGGCAAAAAGCTTTGATCCACATCCATACGAACCAAGGAAGAGTTATCTGTCTCAGTTATTGACAACTCAGCATGGTCAAGGACTGAGATGGCAGAACTAGCAAATCCAATCATCTCACCAGCTTTTGCCTTCTCACCTGCTCTCTGAAAGGTAAAGATGAAGAGTCTATATTGAGTATATTTTCCCCGAAATTAGAAAGCAGGGGTTTTGTCAAGATTTTTAAGTAGCTACTCAAAATAACTCACATGTAATTTATGGCAACATTACCGTTCGTTTAACATAGATACTGGCAACTTAAAGTGTTCATACAACAATAATGAACTTTAGTTTTTGCAGCTTGAATTTTGGGTGTTCCAAAAGGTTTTCTAATTAGAAAGCTTCCAGGAGGTGTGGCAAAAGGATCAATTATGTCAACGTGGATTATGACATTTTGCACATAAAGTACATTGTTTCTCAAAATTTCAGTGTTGCATTTCATCATCTGGACAAATGATCACCATAACTTGGGGACTACTTCAGTTTCGTTAAGGGGAATGGAAATGTTGGAGAACTCCTGAATGTAGATGGAAAATAGATATGAACCCCGGGAAACTTATGAAAATCCCCAGTGGTCCAACAGTAAGAGTTAAATTGTCAAAGCAGAATATTTTTTTAACTGTGATATTGAAAAACATATTAGGAATGAATATCTTTAAAATTGAAGAGTGTAAGACTGATTAACCTCTGCAGGCAGATGTCGATCAGCAAGCTGAAAGGCTAGAAGATCATGAAAGATACAGCCATAGTAGTATTGACTAATTGGTGCAGTATTCCCTTCTAATACTTCCACAGTCTTGGACAATGCTTTAAAGATGGTCTCCTCTTCTGATATCACAAAAGCTACTTCCAAATCTGAATAAACCTGTTAAGAGAATTTGGCTACCGATATTTAGAAAGTACTTCATCCATTATACAGGTAAAAATGAATTTGAAACCATTGTAAGCAATCTCTGATTTAGTTAAGCACAGAGAAAAGTTTCACCTGTAACATAAGTTAACTTGATTGATCAAATTAGGACAAAATATACCTGATTTTTTAATAAACCACATATAATTGATGTGTGCGGGGGTAGATGCGTTCCTGCAAGATATTTTAGGACCCCATTGGAACTGGGGAGACTGGATAGCTCAAAGTGGTCTGATATGTCTAAGAAAATACGAGATCCAATTTCTCTTGTGGTATCTAAAAGGTGCTGAAAAGCAGAACTAGTAATTGCCTCAAAATGGGCCATTCCAGTAACTACCACCTGTGGTTTCAACTTTTTAATCAGCTCTATCATCAAATCTGACTGGCGCGGGGCTTCAATTACAGTGAGCATATCCTCTGAAAGTTTGTCAGTCTCTATATTCTGCAAGAAAGAAATATTCACAAGGTAATCACTATAGCAGCCAAAATGAACAGCTCACTGAGAGAAAGAATCACTGGGGAAGATTTCAACACTCCAAAGGAATGAAATTGATCCCTATGTCTCCCATAGGATTTGGATTTCAACACCCCAAAGAACTGAGACTGGTCAACAGTTTTTCGGACCATAAGCAACCCCATAAGATCCCCTAGCAACCTTATAGGTCCACCCTCCTCATTAACTTTATTTTATGATTCATTTCATTTGCAGCAAACTTTTTCTTAGCATGCACATTATTCTCTATTGAAATCTTTCAAATGAATATCCATACTTCCAAGAATGTTAAATGCATAGATTCAAGCCAAAGGAGATCACATGCCAGAATATAGAGTGGAGTGATTTGGAAGACGACACAGACAATAAAACCTCAAATTTGCTTCTCTAATGAAACTAAGGACTGAAAGACAAAAACACAAAAGGACATATTTATGAAACCATAAAAAACGTGCATACCTCGATTGCCAATGAAGCTAACCACTTCCTGGGTAGGTGTCGGCTCAGATGTTCATCAACAATGGCAAGTCGTGGTGAAAATAATCGTAGAGCATTTTCTATTGCCACATCTCTCGAAGGAAATACAACGATATTCTTGCACAAGAATTTAGAACAAGTCAGGAAAGCAGCTAAGTTCATACACTATGGAAGGTATACTTACATATAATCATATATAGTCCCCAAAAGAAGGAAATATTATTCATGTAGAAAATGATAAAAACAATCCTTCAAAATAAAATTTGGTAGATCCTTTGTTTTTTTCTAGATTGCGATTAATATTCTTGTGAATGTGTATTACAACAAATATTATGCTGCTGATGTTCTCTCAATCCCACATATGTTACAAAATCTTAAGCCCCACTCGTTCATTGAAACTCTGTACTTGTTGAATTTACAGAGTTAGTTAAGGCGTGCACCTTTTCTCAACTTAAGGGAAAGCCATCGACAATCTATTCCATAGCTGATGCAGATCTATTGTATGGTTAAACAAGTCCAAAACAAATTTCACGATCATCACAAAGCCTTTTTGGTCCTAGGAGAACTATCCACGGTTAGTAAGGGTATTTCAGTAGTATCATAATTTGTTGGGCATGGGCGGTAGGGGTCACCCATGGGTTTTCTCAAGTTATAAAATGGGAATTATGTACGAGTTTAAATATGTCTAATATAGTCTTAGTGGTCAAAAGGGTCAAATTTTCCTATTTTGGTTCTTCTTTGTGCACATACCCAAGTTACTATTCTCAGCCCTCAAAAAAGGCACTTTTCAACCCCAAAACCCTATCCAATCACACCCAAATCAACCCCAATCGCTTATTAGAATCTCCCTACTTATTAATCTTCAATTTAACCATTAAAACGCTAGATTCTCACTGTTTAGACTCTTAAACAGCCTAGGTTCTGAAAATTCAGCAAGCTGTCCTACATCAATATCTTTTTATCATAATTTTATCCCATAACACTACAGTACACAATAGGAAAAGCTCCTACTTGGATGAAGAAGATACTGATGACACATACTACAGAACCAGGTTACCATACTAGGACTTCATAACAAAGAAAGAACTCCATGAAAAAGATATAAAAGGAAAACATGGAGAGAAATGCAAATGGACATGTCCTTACTCCTTACCTAGAATGCATGCAAAATTTTGCTTTAGAGTTTACCTCACTCATTAGTGATAGAATATCATTTTGAATGATGAATCATTGTTGCAAATGGATATTTTGTTCATCCAATTCATATCTAATCAGACAAGTTGAATTATCGATAAAAGTTTTGAGCTAGATATATGGCAAATATGTATACACACACACACACACACACATATATGCATACTGCACAGCTTTCTTCAACTGAATAACCATTAAAGAGCTTCAGCTAGAGACCCTGCAATTGGTCTACATAGCTTATATGAACTATGAGCAAAACAAGCTTAAAAGCATCCAACCGACAAGTAAGACATAACATGTTGGGAATAGTTGAATGAAAAATCAAAGAGACTGAAACATGAAAAGAGAAGGAAAGATAAATTCTAAGTTCCCTTACATCGGCATTAAGTGGAACATGGTGGTAAGTCTTCATGAAGCCGGCAATGAGATTGCGAAATCTTCTGCTTCCAACTGGTGGCTCATATGGGAAAAATGAGCTCGTTTTCAAAACATTGGCAAGATAAGCAAGGAATGAAATCTTCTCATCCGCAACAGAATCATCCTCGAATAATAAATCTAAAGAATTGCTGATATTGCGGAACCCATTTTTGAGAAAATCAAAAATTATCTTAACCTGTCAGTGTAGCACAATAAATATCCCTTGCATTTCCTGCCCCGTAAAATACATGAAAATCCACTAATTTGAATGTTGACTTTTCATGAAGTCCACATTCAAACTGAAAAAGCATGAGAATTTGACATTCATACCTGATTTGGTTGACGAATTTGACAACTGTAAACTGATAAAGCATGAGAAATACGACCACCAGCCTTTCCATAGGCCCATGCTGTTCGAGCACAAATTGGTTGATCTCCACCTAGCCCCATGAAGAACTCAAAACGATGTGGACTATTCTTTTCAATCTCAACTAAAGCTGAAATATCTGTGTCAGCGGCCTGCCATAAAAAAATTTCAAGAAGTCTGCATTTTGGTAGAGATATTAATTTCATGTAAAAGGGGATATACTTACCTGAAGAATTTTAGTCTGCCAAAGCCTGGTAACATGGAGACCACGCCGTTCAAACAAGCGTTTACAAACACCTTGTCCTGGACGGCCTCCCATATTAAAGATCATAATCCCCAAAGGTTTGATGACAGCAATTCCTTCTTCAACAGCCCTGGCAATTAGACCCAGGCCAAACTGATCCTCAACAAAGCCCTAAACAAAAGAACAAATACAATGTTAAATCATCTCTAAAAATTCTGTTCCATCTAACAATGAACTGCAACAAGAGAATTGCGTATTGGCCAATAATATTTTATGAGTCATATGCATGGGTATGCTGATAATGTGTTAATACCAAACGCATTCAAGAGAAAAACACATTAACAAGATACAAGATGAATTATTGGAATCAAGGCCATGGCAGTAATTCAGGACGGAAAGATTCTTCATGGATTTAGGGTTTCTCAATTTCTACATGTTCCCCCAAGCTTTTGAACTCATTCAAACATCAACAAAACCCTATTACAATTCATCTAACAATAAATAGAAAGAAAAGAACTATTTATATCCATGTAGATAGATCAGCCATCTAAATGACTTAGCACATGTAAATCAACTAGTGAATAGAGTAAGGCATATTATGATTGACATCTTCAAACTGGTACTCATTCAAAGGTCCCATATGAGCTATTAGAATCAATTTGATACTGATTGATTGAATGAAGATTGTTTTTAGTGTTTATCTATTTTCCCCCTTCCGGCCCTGCTCCAGGTAGAGTTTCTTCTCCTCATCCACTCCAATAGGAGGATGTCATAATAATATATAATTAAAATTTCAATTTACATTTGGTCATTTGTGTGATTCATTTTACCCTTTTAACTTTGTTAAATTTGTAAAATTCAAGTAGCACACGTTGAAATCAGAACTCAAATAAGTAAAACCTTATACAAGTACAAACAGGACTGATTCCAATTAAATTCATAAACAAATATGAATGAATAACCGAATATTTTCCGTTTCATTTGAATGAAATCCCATTAAGGACCTAAACCTTGCTATTGAGTAGAGGGAGACCCAAATTAACATCACAATCTCAATGCCCACAAGGATTCTAAATCTTTTAAAGCAAAGCATATTTTCTGCAAGAAAACAGAATCACAATTACAAAATAGGAAGCCAAATTGATACATGTGAATGTCTTAAAATGCTTATTTCCTAACTGTCAAACATTGTAATCATTAAAATCTCTCCAACCTGAAGTGCACAATAGTTACTCAATGAATGTAGAAATTCCTCGCTTGCGTTTTCCGTAATCATCTTGGACATTGCATCTGGGTTGGGGTTAAGAATCTGCAAGAAACAGTGAAGGGAAAGTAAGAAAATTGACTACACAAACATGGACTGTTCAACCATATTGGAATGTTCAAACAACTTTAAGCATCGTTAAGGAGACAGACAACTTTGTTCATGAGAAATCCCAAGAAATTATGATATACGTGATGACAATACCTGAGGTATGCATCCAACAATTCGTTCAAGTTCTATGTGATTATCTCTACAGTAACCTAGCAGGTCCGATTCATGAAACTCCACCCTATCCAGTAAGGTCTTTCCCTCCCCATCATACACAAGTTGACCATTTTCATCCAGAGCATTCAGATATAAGTTTATCCAAGAAATCTTTATAGCTCTTGGATTGATATCAAGGCCATAGACCTGTTAAGTGTTATTCAAAAACGAGTTAGAGAGCTCCCAATAATAGACATCAACAAAATATGCTGAACATTTAGAAATGAAAGACATTGCCACCAAGTACTAACAGTCAGATGCTTTCAACAACAGATGCTGGTATAGGAAGGATCAAAGAAACATCATGAACTTCCATATTAGTGGGATAAGAAGAATATAAACCTTCGATGGCAACCACTTCTCAGCTATGGCAAGGGATATCCATCCATTACCACAACCAAGCTCAGCAACTGTCTTGTCCTTGAAAATAGAATCAGGATGTCTATTTAGTCCCTCATAAAAAGTGAAGGACCAGTCCTCTGGGATAAAAATGCTAGGAATCACCATCGTTGTCAATTTTTTCCTCTTCTGGTAACCTGCAATGGCAAAAAAAAGCATTAAAGCAGCTGCTGCAACAAGTTGAAGAGCAAACATTTTAAAAACACACTGTAATTACATCATACATAAAAAGAAAAATTCTGAGAAACAAAGAAAAGGAGCACATTAATGCTTTTTAAGGTTGGCATGGGAAGCTTGCTTGCAGAAGAATATGCAAGGTGTTGAGAGAAACTCTTCCTTGTATCCGGGTGTATCTGGAATGTTAGATAACTATACTTCTAGAAGTCTCGAGGACTAATAAATTTACTAGGTTAGGCATGGTGCTGTAGAGAACTTGATCCACAAGGTTAAGGAAAGGTTTCTAAGCTTGCTGTTTTATCGACTATTTGGGGCAATTCCTTTTTCAGATTATTCGCGTTGCTGATGAGGGCATTCTTCTTATTAGCAGCATTCTCTCTTTTCAGTTTGTGTCTGTTTTTTACACATCAATCTCAAAAGAATGAAAAAGGCAAAGGAAAAGAAAAACCAATAAAACAAAATGCATTCAAGCTGGCTTGAATTTTCAAAGAGACCCAAGATTTTGCTTAGCAGCGCAAGCTGAAGCACTCAAAAAAACCTCCAAAGCTGTAATTTGAAGATATTGGACCTGCTGAATGGAGAAACACACAAAACCAAGTAGTGATCCAAAAATAGAATATTAATAAGTCACTAAGATAACTAGTAGCCAATTAAAAATACTAGAATATGGCATGGGAATGGCTCCTCTCCATACTACTATCATGCATACTCCTCCATATTTCATTCTGTGGGTGCAACTTTAGGCTCACAATGATGATTTGAACCATTCGTCTTGTAAACCTCACAGTGATGACTGTCTGTGCAAAAAAATCAAGTTTATCAGATACCGATGAATAGATAAACAAATTGCATTTTGCTTTTATAAAATGAATGGTTTAAGTTTAAACTCGGTCCATTTTAAAAAATAAAATGTAATTTTTTCATGTGTTTATTGATATCCAATGACACTGATTTTTTCACAACTCATCTATATTATTGGGTCTACGAGATGAACTGTTCAGATTATCGTTGTGGGCTTAGAGTAGAGCCCACAAAATTAAATATGGAAGAGTATGGAGAATAGTAGTATGGTGGGGAGCCATTCCCATAAGGCATTGGGAATCTTGGTAATCTGTCAAAAACATAAATTAAGGACGTCAAAGACTAAGAAAGACTACAAGGAAGTCCATACTGAGACAAATTGTGATCTCATCTTGCTTGCATCAACACACTCATCATAATATAAATCTTTCACCAAAATTTTAGCACATGTTAGTGAGAAGTCTCAAAGACCCAATATCCTAAGGCTGTGCTTAGTTCATGGATTTGAGGTGAAATTTGGAAAGGAAAAAAAATGTGTGAAATTAAATAATATAGTATATTTTATTCACATTTCACATACAATTTTTTTATTTCTTTCTTAAAAATCCATGAGGGTCATCCTAATTTGGTCCAAATATAAAAAGGGTAGGATCTAAAAATAGAAAAAATAAAAATAAACAAAATAGATACTAAAAATGCTCACTCACTCCACTTTAAAGGAAGAAAAAACAAAAAGAAGCAATAAATACAAAATGCTATTAGCCACATAAATGTTCGCACTCAATAATGCCATTTCCAATATTTAAACATCCCATTTTTGTTTCTCAACCATTTTTTATTTTCAAAATCAAATGTTCCATTCTAAATTTCATGGATGATTATGAAACACACACTCACACACATAAATATATATGATTATGAGAAAATTGAAAAATTGGATTGAGAGAGAGACCTTCATATTGCTCAAGATAGATGTCTTGGATAAGGAAATGGTAGGTCTCGAGGCATTGCTCAGAGGCTTCCTTGGTGTCGAACCGTTTCTGGAGATCCGAAAGAAAGATCCGAGCTTCGGTTCGGGTTTTCGGATCTTGAAGCCTCTCGAGAAGTGATCTGAGAGCACTGTAGGCAGAGTCACCGGACTGCTCGCACTGCTTCAAGAACTCATCCATCGATCCCCACAAACCCTTCACCGCCATTGCAATTCACACTACAATAACAACAACAAATTCAAGAGAATCGACTATACATATAAATATATATATAGATAGATATAGATATAGATATATATATATATATATAGAGAAAGAGAGAGATTTTGTCTCTAAAAAGTGGCTGAACCTTTGGAAAAGGGGAGGAGCCTCCCCTTATATAGAGGCATGCAATGCAAAGCTTGTTTAACAAGCTTGAAAAGGCCTCTATCCCTCCACACACGTGTATGGAGGATGTCTCAGTGAAAACCAGCTGGCTCAAAAGGTCTAGCACAAAATCTGCTAAGACAAGGTGTTTTGCCGGCCATCAGTGGTGGCCGGCAGTGCCTCATTGATGGCCGTTTGAATTTTTAATGAGTGTTTTTAATAATTTAATTAATTTTTAATTTTATTTAATTTATATACACTTAAAAAGTATGAAATTTATATAATTTTTTTTAAAAATTCATTAAATATAACAAAAATATAAAATTTAGTATATTTTTATATTTTGTTATATTCAATAAATTTTTTAAAGATTTTTGTACAAATTTTATAATTTTAAGTATATTTAGATGAAGTAGATTTAAAAAGTAAAAAAAATGATTAAAATATTACAAAATTCAGTAAAATTAAAAAAATATTTATTGAAAACTCAAAAAATTATTTTTGAAAATTTCAAACCAAACTACTATTTTTTTTTGGTCTTTAATATTTTTGAAGAATTTTAATTAATTTATTTATTTTGATTATGCAACATATAATTTTTTTGCATTATAAGTTTTAATTAATGTTTTAAGGTCTCTACACATTTCTAAAGAATTTTTATTTATTTTGATTGTGTGTCATATATATATATATATATTGGGTATGACTTCTTTCAAGTTGTCATTCAAATTGTTCGCATTTTAGGATTCGCTGAGTAGAATATTTATGAAAAAAATTAAAATAATTGAATATCGATAACTATAAGTTTGAATAATATTTTTTATAAAAAAAATGGACGACAAATCTAATTTTAAGAATAGTTATTCATTTTTTGTAATATAAATTTAATTCAAATATATAGGTAGTAATATACGATTATCTTATTTTTTGCATGAATGTTCTACTAAATGAGTCTTACAAAGTGAACAGTTTAGATCACTAAAATCGATTTTAAAATAGACCTACCAAACTTAAAGACTCTCTCAAGAGAGAAGTCAAACTCTGTATATTTGATAATTAGGTATTCAGATCAATTTTTGTATACCTTGATCAATCTCAAAGCCTTGAAGTTAACGACTATGTAAACCTCTAATGACATATTAGGATAATTGGAACGTAAGATTTTAGTTGTTATTCTCAAGTTTTTATCACTTGACCATTAGTTCATATATCTAGTTATATTTGGTTATTGTTAATAATAATTTTGGAAAGTTGCTATTCTCATTTCATTTTACTTTAAATACATTTTTATTTTTATTTTTATTATATATAGTTACATTAATACTCTTTCACATAAAATACATTTTATGAAAAACATAAAAAAAATCTAAAAGTATTAATGTAACTATATATAATAAGAACAAAAAAATATATATATATGAAACGAAATAGAGTAGTACTCTAATATTTTTTTATTTTTATGTTTTTTATGAAAAACATAAAAAAAATCTAAAAGTATTGATATTTTGTTATGTCTCGTTATAATTTGTATTGATTGCAGATCAAATCAAAATGAATTACGAATATGTATGATTTTGTGTTGTTTATTATGAATAATTTATTTGATTATGAGCTATTATGTATTGGTTATGACTCACATCAATCACTCAGATTTATTATTTTTTAAAAAAATTCATTAGCAAAAAAATGATAGTGTATGTAGTTTTTTACATCATATTTTATTTTATTTGATCGATTGTGACTTATTAATTATGGTAAAACTTGATTATGATCTATCGATTGAAATCATACACTATTTTTAAATAATAACTTTGACCATATTTGTTATTATTATTATTATTTTTGTCGACAAGTATGCTAACATGACATGACAGAAGTGTTAAGGACGTTGCATGATGATATGTTAAATGGAGGGCCAGAAAGTTAGCAATTGCAACAATTTAAAAGTTGTTGCTGAGATCAAGAAGCTAAAATCAAATTAAGCATAAAATTTGCAATATGATTCCTATCAAACATGAGATATGGATAATGTTGAGAAAATCATAAACTTGTTGAGAAAATCGTGGGCTTAGATTATCTCTTTCTCTCATGTGGCTGAGCTTATAAATAAGCCAAGAAAGATACAAAGATGAATCAATCATCAACCATTAAACACACTCGTGCAAAGTTATTTAGGAGAAGTTATAAATTAGCCATTTTAGAAGTAGTTTAAACTAGTAGCTTTTTCCAACCATCACTTCTTTTTTTCTTTTTTTTTGCGATTGTTGTATTCTTCATTTTTTTTTTGTTAACTAGTGACAAGCGACAATTTATTCGAATTAATACATATTCTGTTTTGTTTTATTTCCTCTTCATTTAATTATCTCTAGGAAAGTCCTTAATCAGTTTAAAGCAAAGAACTCAACTAAAAAACTTGATTATTATTTGTATTTACTTAAAATTTATTTGAGTCTACCGATTAAATCATTGTTGATTGAATTTAAACTAAATTTTTACCAACAATAGTATGTATTCTTTTAAAAGATGAATGTATAGTAGCCTAACCCAAGAAATAAAATTATTAATGTGATTTATATTTTAAAAAAGGCATCATCGTTATATAATTGTAATATGAAATATATAATTTTTGTGTGTATGCATTATTTTTTGGGCGAATTTCAATTCGGTTGCAAATCTGTAAAAAAATTTGGTAAATTTTTTACACATTAACAATTATGAACTTTTCGATACTTCTATGACAATTTTCTGATAGTTCTACCGATAATTTCCCCTTATTGTCTTGATTGACAAGTGATGAACTACATGAGGATCTCCAGCCAATATTATTTGGCAAATTAGTATTTTGAAAATTTCATTTTATTTTAAAAATAAGCAATTCATATGCTAAATTTATTATTTGGTTAATTATACTTAATACACTTAATACTCCTGTATTTGCACCAAAATTTAACTTTGATTGATTCTATTTTTAATTGTAACAATTAACTTCTGTCATAAGGCCCTCTTTGTCTCCACTTGGCCTTAATAAGATTAATAGAATTTAATGAGCATGTCACGCATGACATTTTTTAAGACAATTAACGATAGAGGCAAAAGTATGAATCATCAAGACATATGTAAGGGTGCTAATGAGATGGAGAAGAAAAATATTATTCATACAAAAAACACCACAAGAATGATATAACAGCAATATTGTTATAAATGTAAGCTATCTTTACGAGTGTTTTATCTTAAATTAAAAGATTACTATTAAATCACATCATTATATATAAAAATTCTATAATATCACTTTTAATTCACATGCAATTCATTAATCTATATTCTATATATAACTAAATGTAGTTGTTAAGTCAAAAATTTTTAAAACTTGAATCTTAAATTCCCATAATTTTGAAAGAAAAAAAATATTACGTGGCATTGTCTTTCACCTCTCTTTTCACTCTTCAAACCTTTTCACTCTCTCTCTCTCCCTATATAAAATATAAAATATTAAAATATTCATCCATATCCATCATCTATATCCATCACCAACAATAATATTTATCCCTAAATAATAAAACATTCATCCATATCCATCATCTACAATAATATCTATCTCACTCTCAATCTCAATTTAATAATAATAAAAAAAAAACTTCGGAACTGCTATAACTTTCACACACACACATACACACCTCTATTCAATTTATTCTAATCAAATTCAATCATTTTCTCATCTATCCATCTTTCACTACAGGAAAACATAGCAAAAAACATGGAGCTTTTAGCGACGCCGCGCCCCCCGTCGCAAAAAATGGTTTTTTGCGACGGTAACGTCACCCGTCGCAAATAATAGCCTTTAGCGATGGCACTTACCCGCCGGTAATGAAACTAAGCGGAGGGGTCAGAAATGCGGAAGTATTAGCGACGGTAAAGAAAACCGTCGCAAAACACCTTTTTTTTGAGACGGCATATCTCATTTGCGACGAAAATTTGCCGTCGCAAAAAGTATTAATTCAAACGGCGCCGTTTTACGAACTACTGCCTTCTATTTGCGACGGTCTACAGCATACCGTCGCAAAAAGTCAAAATAAAAAAATCCCCCCTCTTCTTTTTCCTGTTGCCGCTCGATCCTTCCTCCCCAAATCCCTAACTTCACCCCCAAATTTCTCAAACGGGCTACGAGCAAGACAGCGGTGGTGCGATTTTTTTTTTTATTAAAATTACACACCTCTAAACAATAATTTCATATTGTTTTTTGAAGGTATTTTTTTAAAACTTTTAAATGGCAAAGACACCACTTTATTGGGAGCCACACATTAAAGTAAGCGATTATTAAAAAAATGTTCCATCAATGCTAGGTTTGACCGCAGGGTAGTTGCCTCGTTAAAAAAAACAATAATGATACAGATCAATAAAACAAAATTAATAACATCACCGTGATGTGACAAGTTAAAAAAAAATAAAAAAATAAAAAACAAAACACAAAACATATGTAACAGTGAGTGTGTGCAACCACAAATTAATGGTCTGTATCATTTTTCTTAAAAAAAAAATAGTCATTTGAAAGGTGTATCAGGTTTGACTTCTGATGAGTACGGAATGTTGGCTTTGCCTAATTAAAGTCTTTTCGAAGATTCTGCATTATATTCGGATTGATATTTCGTAACACGTGATTAACAACCCGTTTCGGAATAGTTTTTTTTAATATTTTTTAATATTTTAATTAAAATATGATATAAAAAAATTAATACATTTAAGGTAATTTTATAATTTTTTATGAAAAGATATGCAACAAGTAGAAAGAAAATAATTTTTTTAATTTTTTAGTATAAGTTGTTGATTTTTAAATTTTTTTAATAACTTTTTAACTCAAAAAATTACTTGCCAAACGAGACCTAAATTTTATTGAGTGCTTTGATAGATGCTTTTATTTGAATTGAGTTAAATCTATTCGCCAATTAATTATTCTCGATC